ATAATGGGTTATTTTGAGCCAATTGGCCCAATTGACTAACCAAACCTCTCATAGCGCCTACATGCCAACCATATTCAAATCAAGTCAAATTGACCATTTAATTAACCTGTATCAAACTCAAACTCTAGTGAACCCAATATGACTGATTAAGGACCTAAACTTTTGAATTATCCAAATTAACTTTAGTCAACAATTCTATTGGGTTTTAATAAGTTAATTTTAATCAAATTGAGCCAAATTCATCTTTGGATTAGCCTAAGTTAATTAGACTTGACCCCTAATTTAACCAAATTGACCCTAATTAGCCCTTCCACCGAGTCCCGATAGGTTAACAATGACTACATTGGGCATAATTGATTAGTGGCATCCTAATTAGCCGATGAGACCAAATCGACTCATTTACTCAATTCACCTTAATTGATTAAACACAAACTTGAATTGGATGCCTAGGACATAATCCTAGCTAATTGGAACCAACTAAATCCTTAGACTAGCCTAATTGGCCATTGAACTCAAACTAGCCCAAAATTGAACCCGATTGGATCCAATGGAACTAAACATGAATTCCATTTAATATGATCAATTATTCTCAAAGAAGAGGACATGGCATAACCAAGGGTGGTGAGTGAAGCAATAAGTTCATGGTGGGCAATACAAATAGCTAGGCTGATGATCCTTCTAGATGTGAATACAACATTACCTAAAGATAAGAGATATAAAGGTGCAAGATTGTTGTGGAGGCTATTTAGGAAGGTTGAGTTTGTCCTTCTTTTAAAGGTTAATTAAGATGGTATGACCAGAAGGTGAAAAATAAGTAATAATCTATATTTTGAACGAGTTAAATATTTTTTTAAGGAGTCATTATAAGTCCAATTTGTAAATTGTTTTCTTCATAGTAAAAATAAGAAATAAGAGAGAAAAGAGAGGAAGAGGAAAATAAAACTTAAGTTTGAGAGTCATAGAGCCAATTTGCCGGTCCATCCATTTGTGAAATTTACTTGTCTCGTTGTAAGCTACTATTACTTTACCTCTTATTTCGATTTTGAGTATTTTGTGTTTCATGAATTTTAATTTAGTCAAAACTCGCAAAAGTTATGATATCTTGCAATTTAGCAAATTTTTACTACATAACTTTTATTCTGTGATAGATGTTGTCAATATGAGTATTTTGATCAGAACATATTAAATTTTCACCACGTAAATTAGAAGCAATGATTTTATGAAGTAAATGTATAATAAACAAATTTTATAGATTTCTGTATTTTATAAGCTACTGCATTCCATACATAATATTGAATTCCATTATACAGAAAAAATACAACATTCACATGTAAGTAAAGAAGACTGGCTGTTAAACATTAAAATATAATGTCTTATGCAGGAGGGTGGGCCAATTGCTTTTTTTTAAAATAAAAGGTTGGTGATGTGATATTTATTGTAGCATGTAATCGATTGACCGAATTACGCTGACGGATAGAGAGTGACAACTCTTAAATAATCATTGAAAATTACTTATGAAAATAAATGATTAATAAAAATAAATAAAAGATAAGATAAATTTGACAGATGAATAGATATGACAAATAACAGATAGAATGATAAAAATACCACATTAAACTCGGATGTTCTATCTTATTCTTTCTAATTGTATCCATGATTATATTTATATGATAGTGCATTGAACTGATTGATATAACATACTGATAGACAATTATATATGACATTATGATTGATATAATATATATAATAAAATCATCAACATGAATATACCTGATTAATAATTGATGTTTGTTTTACTACAACACCTGTTATAGATTTATAAACTGTTTACTAATTTTTTTATAGATTAATAGATGTCTTTTGCTTAGTGAGATAATATTGATTGATATTGATTTGAATTATATCAAACATATTGAATCTATTGGCTTGCATTGAAGGCAGTCGTAAGTTTTGATTATTTACTGTGCTTCGCAAACTCATTATGTGATTTTACATGATTTCAAATAAATATAAGGAGCCTACAAATTAAGGCTAGATAATGATGATTATTTTGATTTTGTTTTAAGTTCTCTGACTTATATGCATTCTTTTATAGTCGGTAGTGACTATTATATATGTTTTTTTCTTTTTTAATTTTAGAGCTTATAGCATAATGTAAATATTGACACTAGCAATATAATTATGTTTTCCCTATTATTTATGTATTTTCTTTATTGTTTATTTATTTCCTTTAATGTAATTAATAAGCTATAAATGCCAAATTGATCTGGTTGTAAATAAATGATTATTTGTTACTAACTGAAAGAAAAAAATGTGTAGAATGATTCGAATAGATAAAAAAAAAAATAAAAAAATTATTCTTTTTTTAGATTTTGAGGTGCTACAAAATAAACTTGTGCAAAGAAATTGTAGGGGACATATAATTGATTGGTTCATTCCTCCTAAAGATAAAGGTGGCACAACCTAAATGCGATGGATGAAGTACTTGAAGTTTATAGAGTAAAATAAATAAATAAATAAATAAAAATAATAAAAAAAGAGAGTAAAGAAGAGCAATCATATTAATCTACCTTCAAAACATAGAGATAACACAACTTAAAAGGCAATGAGTGAGATAGTGTACAAAAGGTCTTAGATGTTCTAAGGGAGGGGGTCCTTTTCATGGAGACCAAGATAGAATGAATTCAAAAAGTGATCATTAACAACTTTAGGTGGCAATCAGAGCTTTTAAATTCTCCAATCTAAAAGATTAGAATGTCTCCAATGAGGAAAAAATATTATTTCTATATAAGCTCCAAGGGAGGGGGACATTATGGTCCTTACAAAAACAAAATCTAAAACATCCTTAATTTACAAGCGCAATAAACAAATTGAATAGATTCTAATTTTATCAATAAGCAATCAAATATTCAATTTGTTTATTGCGCTTGTAAATTAAGAATGCTTTAAGTTCTTTGATTTATATGTATTCTTTTATAGTCAGTAGTGACTATATGTATATATAGAATGTAAATATTGGCAGTAGCAATATAATTAGATTTTTCCTATTGTTTATTTATTTCCTTTAAAGAAATTAATCAGCTATAAATATCAAATTAATCTGGTTGTAAATGAATGATTATTTGTTATTAACTAACAGAAAAAATGTATAGAATGATTCAAAAAGATAATAATAAAAAAAAGAAAGCAAAAATTCTTCTTTTTTAGATTTTGAGGTGCTACAAAATAAACTTGTGCAAAAAATTATAGGGGACATATAATTAGTTGGTTCATTCCTCCTCCTAAAGGTAAAGGCGGCACAACCTAAATGCAATGGATGAAGTACTTGAAGTTTACAGAGTACGAAAAAAAAAAGAAAAAAAATTTGAGAGTAAACAAGAGCAATAATAGTAATCTACCTTCAAAACATAAAGATAACACAACTTAAAAGGCAATGAGTGAGATAGTGTACAAAAGGTCTTAGATGCTCTAAGGGAGGGGGTCCTTTTCATGGAGACCAAGATAGACTGAATTCAAAAAGTGATCATTAGCAACTTTAGGTGGCAACTAGAGCTTTTAAATTCTCCAATCTAAAAGATTAGAATGTCTCCAATGTGGAAAAATAGTATTTCTATAGTACCGAGCGTTTATAACTGTCAATACCGAGCAATACCGAGCTGTACCGATTAACATACCGAGCAGTACCGAATGATTAAACTCGGTATTGAATCAATAATATCTTTAATATTTTTATCTAAGCGTATAACGACCATTAAACGTCGATACCGAGCAGTACAGAGTGTTTATATCTGTCAATGTCACTCGGTACAGAGCAGTATCGAGTGTTTCAAATGATTTAACTCGGTATTGAATCAATAATATCTTTTATGTTTTTTATCTAACCTTATGCCGACAATTAATCACCAATACCGAGCAGTACCGAGTGTATATAACTGCCAATACCGCTCGGTACCGAGCTGTACCGATCAATACTAATCTGTACCGAGTAATACCGACCTCGATTCTAATATTATTTCTTCACGAAAGATTAAAATTTCAGCTAAACTCGGACTTTATCCGTAATCCCTAACCCTAAACCCCATTTACAAAAGAGAAGGTGAGACACTGATTATCAATAAAGGAACTAACCTGAGGTATTATTTCTTCTTGAAAGCTTCGAACTTGGAAGAAGATGAATAGTTGCCGGAAATGCGTGAAGCTTCAAACTTGATAATGCGGGAGCTTCGAACTTGGAAGAAGAAGAATAGTTGCCGAACCAAATCTTTGTATATGCAAGCAAATGATGACGGAAGTGAAAGACGGTGATCTTTATTTACAAATTAAACAAACATTCTTAATTTACAAGCGCAATAAATAAATTAAATAGATTCTAATTTTATCAATAAATGCTTATTGATAAAATTAGAATCTATTTAATTTGTTTATTGTGCTTGTAAATTAAGAATGTTTTATTTTATTATTATTATTTTTTTTGTAAGGATAGAGAGAGAGAGAAAAAAAAGAATCTCATGATGGAGGTGATGTAAACAAACAAAACTATGGAGAGGCAAACAAAACGGTCGAAATGTTGATTTGTATTGGAAACATAAAAAAATAGAATAAAAAAGGACGAGCAAGCATGTCTCCAAGTCAAGATAACTCTTATCCATCCATTGTACGCCTTTGTATTATCATTCAGAAGATTTGACTTGCGCCATATGCATTATCAAAGATGGCATATTCTATAAGAAAAAGCATAAAAATAATGTCGCTACAGGAATCCATCTTAGCCAACTAATCCATAATAGTATATATTTTCGGTTCATGAACACAACTGCATTATTGAGAATGTTTATTCAAGAAGCTTCCAACTAAGACGTTGGATCTTATCCAAATGATGCCTTTATGACAGAAGATACCTACGTTTTATACAAAAAATAATTCACATATGATCTCATCTTTTTTCAATTGAAGCAGGAACTATTCCAACTATGCGGGATTGAAGGAAAATATCAGAAGAATAGAGAGATAAAAGGAAAATATTGATATTTCTTACAGAATATTCAAAGGAGTACAAGTGTTGAGAGTATATGCAAGCAAATAAAATGGATATGATTTCATGTACCTGTAATATGCGTGCTACAAAGAAGAACAAAAGAACAGCTGCCCTGTGATATTTACATAGCTTTTTTTGGCTTTGAAATTCTTCATGTGCAGAGCTGACTATGAAGGTATTTAAGATTATGTGCAAGGAAGAATATTTAAATCTTTAGCTGTTTATTCCAGAATTAGAGAGATCCTTCGAATGATACTTGAAGGTGAGGTCTTCTAGCTGGTTGAGCAGAAGCAGCGGCTATGCCTTGAAGCAAATTGATTACATCAACTGTGTCATCGAGGTAGTACTTTGCCTTGCTTGGTTTCTTGCCAACTGTGCAGGCAAATACATCAGAAATTGCGGGAAGAGAAGGCTCGGTCGTCGGGGAACCCATGATAGCCTCGAACATATCTTCATCGGATCGATCGTCGCCGATACAAAGAACGAAGTCCGGTGGCTTCCCTCTATTCGACATGGTCGAGATCAGATTCCGCACAACTATGCCTTTGCTTATGCCCTGCGACATTACAGAACAAATGATGAAGAAACAATGGCGGGTTTAAGAAAACCAAGTCAATAGTAATGGCTGAGGCCAGCTGTATATGAAAGTTAGATTATGAACCTAGAGAAATTCGGTAGCCAATTAGAGGGCAGAACTTATCCACAAAGGTTTATGGTTGTTAGAAAGGAATCAACAAATGTCATTCAGAACAGAAGAAAGGCAATAATTGTAAACACTGGTACAACAATAGGTAGGGCCTGAGAATGATTAATTATTTTACGTTTATTTTGATTCATATTTGTCTTGCTGAATAAGACTGACCACCTTTTTAAGCGAGGTGAAAAATAAATAAAATTAAAAAAAAATGGAGAGAAATTCAATTATATAAATATACCTGAGGGTTTACTTCCAGAATATGTTGGCCTCTCTTAACAACTACAGGTTCATTAGCAAGAACATTCTCCAAGTGATCAAGGAGTTCTTTTGCTTGGCAGGAACCAAAGTCTGGATCAGCTTCCTGATGGTGCCAAACTAGAGCGGTTTCTTTGTGTTCAATATAGGAGCCATCTGTTGCTTCTGTGTAATGCCTCATCACTGGTTCGGCGATCCTTTTCCACTCCAAGTCAGAAGCCACGTTGCAAGACTCCCATGGTGAATCTCGGCACCATCTACAGTAAATGAGAACAAGTCAGAAAAATAAAGCATTGATCAGCAATGAATTACGTGTTAAATTTTCTGTCCATATATACTAATTCTTGCAATTCAATCAAAATGAACAGTAAGATAATTAATTAATGCCCTTGGTTGGCAATGCACGGAAGTAGCTGGATTCAACTTTTGATTTATAGTGGAAGGGAAAATTGGCAATATGAGAAGCACGAAAATGGCTAAGTTCAAGATCAATTGAATTCTTGAGCATATTTTAAGTGTTTAATAATGGTAAGACTCTACTTAATTCATCCTATGTTCATAATAGGATGTTGTGATGAGATCATCAAGCCTATGATTTCATGTTATAAGGAATTAAAGACTGAATTAATCTGATAAACAAACAACAATATAAGTTTAGGGTTTTAATTGCAAATGAGATTCTCCCTCGTTTTTTACCGTTTTTTGTTTAAAACACTCTGAATTAAGGAAAATAAAGAGGACATCCTAATCAAAATTTGGTTAAGGATAAGTTTTAAAATTAATAAATTTGTTTTCAGATAAATACAATATAAAATGATTAATTATATGATCCAAAATTCATACCAAATTTTGGTTATTCAAAATTTCTCCCAGAATTAATATACTGAATAAAGATAGATTTCAAAATGCAAAGAAATACCTTGTGAAGTATCCATGCTCAGCAGAGATTCCTAACTTCAGACAAGAATCAAACCACTTGCTCAATGAATCTTTCCCTCTACCGCTAACCACAAAAACAACATTCTTCTCATCAGAGCATAAGCTATTCAGAACATCAATAACCTTCTTGCTTGGGGTCTTATCGATCGAGCTCTGGGGCATCATCGTCCCATCATAATCCAACAATATCAGCCTACTGCTCGTCTTCCTGTAAGCAGAAACTAAATGCTCTACTGACAGCTTCCTAAAGTTGGGACCTAGCGCAACAACCCTAAAGCTCAACCCAAAGCCAATGCCCCAACACCTTTTTGTGAAATGATCCTTACAAGCTCTCTGCAAGTCCCGATCAAATGACCTTGCCCAATATGTAACATCATGAGAACTAACGTACTTATAGTGCTTGTCGTGCCTCAGCTGCTTCTCAGTTTCTGGCATGGTGATTGCCAAGTTCATTGCCTCGGCCCCAGCTTCCACATTCCACGGATTAACCCTAATTGCTCCACTCAGTGATGGCGAGCACCCAATGAACTCTGAAACCACAATCACACTCTTCTTTGGGAAATTCTCCAATGCCGGGCTCCATTGACGACAAATGGTGTACTCATAAGGTACCAAGTTCATCCCATCTCTTACAGGACTGACGACGCAGCAATCAGCAACAGCATAATAAGCAACCTTCTCAACGGTAGTTAAAGGGCCACCATCTAGCAACACAATGGGATTGTACCCAGGAGAGCCGAATTTCTCATTAATCCTCTTCGCTAGAGAATTTGTCTCCTCCTGCACCTCCTGTATGTCCTTCCCCTGGCTCCGGGCAGGGTTGGCAATCTGCACTAGAACAACACGGCCACGAAGCCCAGGATTGTCAGCCAATAGCTGTTCCATTGCCAAAAACTTCAAGCCGATTCCTTTGAATATATCCATATCATCAACACCAAGAAGCAGTATTCTATCTTTGTAATTAGCCATCAGTTCCTGGACCTTGGATTGGGATTCGGGCGAGGAAATCACGGCCTCCAGTTGCCCCATGTCAACACCTGCAGGGAGAATCTTAACGGTAACAGTTCTTCCATAGTACTCTATACCAATATACCCGCGCTTGGATTCATAGTGAAGGCCAAGGAGGCGAGAACAGCAAGAGAGGAAATGACGAGCATAGTCAAAGGTATGGAAGCCGAGAAGGTCGGTGTTGAGAAGGGCCCGGAGCAACTCCTCTCGAACAGGGATGGTGCCGAAGATTTCCGAGGAAGGGAAGGGGGAATGGAAGAAGAATCCGAGCTTGATTCGTGGGGAGCGCTTGCGGAGGAAGGATGGCAGGGCGAGGAGGTGGTAGTCGTTCGCCCAGACAAAGTCGTCGTCAGGTGAGACAACCTGCATGACGCGGTCAGCGAAGAGCTTGTTGGCGGAGAGATAAGCAAGCCATAGGCGGCGGTCGAAGCGGAGGCCACCTTGGACTGCGGGGGAAAGAGGAAGGAGGTAGTGGAGAAGAGGCCAGAGATAGTGCTTGCAAAATCCATGGTAGAAGCTCTGGTGTAGGTCGGGGGGCAGGAACACGGGGACGCAGTGGAACCTATCGGAAAGTATTTGGGCGACCTCGTCCTGGTCGGCCGGGTCTATCTCAGCACGGAGGGTGCCAACGTGGATGACGTCGGAGGAGGAGGAGGAAGAACCGCCAGGAAGGCCGGAACGGAGCTGGAAGGCGAGGGCGTCGAGGTCCCAGGAGAAAGACCATTGGCCGGAGATGGGGTCACGAGCGGCGTGAAGGGGGAGATGATTATTCACGATGATGCGTCGCTCCTTCATCGGAGAGGGAGAGAGGGGGCCACCCGAAATGGTAGAAGAGTCGTCGGCGTAAGCGTCGGAGAGGATGCCGGGGTACGTCATGACCCGAGGGAGGCGGGCGGGGGGCGGTGGGGGAGCGGCTAGGTCAAGAAGATCAGCGTATGAACGGGAAGGCATGGCGCAATTTAGGATTAAAATTAGGGTTAGGGTTTACACTTGCGGGCGTCGGAGTAGAGCGGTGAACGCGTGGAGAAGGAAGAGGAGCAGGAGGCCATTCGGGGAAGAAGAGAAGCGCGTCTCGGCGCATATATGTTGGGGAGTAGTGATGTGGGGACCGAAAGGTATGGTTACCGAGAAGATCGGCTGGCGATGGCCGGTAGCCTTTAGTGGGGTGACCGGGAGAAAGAGGTTAGCGGATAAGTTGGGACTTGGGTGGCGTGGGGTCGACTCATGGGGACCGGTGGGAGTGGCGATGGGTTTTCACAGAAACCACGTGGGTATTTCTATTGCCAGTTAGGATGAGTTGGGAGTAGAATAGATGAACCGTGTAGAACGGGTAACATTAAGAGCTTTTATCAAAAAAATTAATTTTCTTTATCAAAAAAATTGGATAAAGTTTTATTACACTCATCATATTTAAATAAATTAATTGTAACAAAATATTTCTCTTCATCATAATTTTAGGAAACTAATAAAAAATAATCATCAGATAATGGCGGTGACAATCGCATCTGTTTTGTAATGTATTTGGAAATAATTCAAATTAGAGAAATTCCAAATAAACTAAAAATGCATTGCTTGAGTAATTTGAAATGCACTTTTTTAACACTCTGAATTACTTTACATCTTAAATGCATGCAACCAAACAACCCTGAAAACATTTAAAACTTCAAATCCTACGAACAATACCAGCCTTAATTTTCAAGGGGGGCAAACTTATAAGTAAATGTTGGTATTGCCTAGAATTTGACTCGACCGTTCCCAACAAGAAAATAGGTCAATAGACACTCATATTTATTCATATTCTTAATCATCGCATGCTTCACAGATATATTAGGAGTCCAAAGAGGCAACGCCCCCTAATAGGATTCGACTATTTGTGGAATTCAAATGAATAAATAAAATCATTAATTATATTTATTAGGGTCAATTGCCCAAAGACCGTAGT